TGGTCATTTTAAGAAATAAAGTAAAGTCCACGATAATTTCAACATCATTAAACAAAAGTAATTTTTTGGTAACTGTTTCGTAAAACTCTTTTCTGTAAAATGAACAAAAACTATTGAATAAACGCAAATACAAACGTTATTACAAACTGCAGGCGTCCTCACAGCTTAGTCGACACAACAAACTAATAGTGGCACGAACAAAATTTGAAAATTTTTCTGTCCTCTACAAAGAAAATACAACAAAAAAACTTTGAAAGTGTATCACTTACAGTATTTACAATCATAGAAATGAGGTCCAAGAGTAATAGCAAATATTGTGATGCTGGAATATCCACGAATTGTTCATTTAAGTTAGTTTTTGAATTTAGGGACTGATCTGAGAGCAAATATTTCGTCAAGTGGGTACTAAATGGCACTACTTCGGCCAGAAATTGAACAATTTCACTACAATTCTCAACAAATTCACTTAACTTATTTAAACTAAAAATTGAAAAACGTGAAAACTTATTTAAGTCTAGTAATATTTAACCTGTTATTCTGTAAATATAGTTCATCCAGTTCTGATACATCCAGTAAATGATTTCCATCCTCATTCTTTTGCATACATACACGAAAATTTTTTAACTGCTGAAATGAAAAATCTACAACCTAAAAAAATAATTAAAATAATGAAACCAATCAGTTAATATTTTTAATATTACCTTGTTTACGTATTGTGCACCTACTTCGGAATCTAATTCATTATGTGAGAGATTGGCTAAACCGAATAACTCGTTATAAATGGAACACAAGTCGCAATCTTTTATTTTTTTATTAAGAGTGGTATTCTCCATTTTTGAGTTATTATGCAAAAATGAGAAAGTGAAATTTTTTAATGGATAAACTAAAAAAAAATAAATTAAATAAAGAACAACATCTTAGTAGTACTTACATTCCACAGTATTTATATGAATTTTAGTGTTTTCATTCAACACTTCCTTTATTTTCTTTTGAGGACTTGTAATAGTAGTTTTGCTAGAATTAATAAATAAACTAGTGACTTTTCCCAAATTTAAAACAAACTTACCACTCATTAGCTTTGGTCTTTTGTTCTGTATTTATTAGTTTCAAGAGTTCTGTAATTTGATGTTTRAGATTTGCAACTTCAAGATTCTAAAATAAAAAAATTGATACTGTTTGGAGTTTGTTATAATGAAAAATGAAAATGATTTCTACCTTAAATTCTAATTCACTTTTGATGGATTTATTTTCCTTTTCCAATGCAGAAAACTTGTCAGTCCATTCTTTCTGTTTCTTTTCTTGATCTACTTGTGACGATGCTCTCAAGTGTTGTAAATTGGTCCTTAGTATTGAAACTTCTCYTTCTTTCTCTGCAAACTTTTCCTGTAATTGCTTTATTCTATCTTCTAAAGTACATTGATTCGCAGGATTTTGTTGTGTGGACGTAAACATATTCCTGGGATCTTTAAAAACGCTATATGAAGACTGTAGAGTGTCATCGCGTTCCTGAAAACAGAAAAATTGTTTTTTTCAAAATGAGATAATTTGCTAACCTCTTCCACAATTTGAGTTGCTCGTTTAAAACAATCATCGATAACATCTTCATCGAAGTCGTCATCCCAAAAATCGTTCGACTCCTCCACTCGGGGCTTCTTTGTTGATAAATTTCTAGAGTTGATAGTTCTCTTTGACATCTTCAATGTTTTGATTGTGAGAAAATGGCATCAAGGCGAATTAACAAGAAACAATTACTTGGTTTCGGCACTGTTATGGTTTACCCAACTTTTTACACGAAAATTGTGAACAGAAGTTTTAATTAAATTTAAAAACATGAACGTTTGAAATGTTTCACTTAACCTAAAAAAATGTTTAGAATTTGATATAGACTACCAGTAATACACACATATGACTAGCTGTATTGTTGGTTAGCTAACATGAAAGCGCCTCAGTCAGGTTTTTTTTAGATTGGACAGTAGTTCTTCATTATTATTATTATGAATTTTCACTATTGTGAATAATAATTAATTGATTAATTACTCCTTTTTTTAAATACAAAAACCTCAAATTGATTTTTCTTAAATATGTAAGAAAAAATGGCTACATAATATCTACCATTATTTTCCTAAAAAATTAAATTTGTTTAAAAAAGGGTATCTTTTACCAAACTGCTGGTTTTAACTTAATGATAATTTATTTAATAATTTAAAAATGATGCTCATTTAAGTCCTCGATTAAGGGACTTGTTTATTTCATTTTTTCTTCATTTTCTTAATAGCACATACGTTCTCTAAAGTTCTCTCAATTTAAATTAGTATCGATTTAAAGTAGAGTGATTGCGGGATATAAAGTGTGCAATTCTCATATTTAATGATTTGCATACAGACATAAATGAAAATGGCCCCACTGTATCCTATTTAGTCCAAGACACCAATATAAAAAGAGACTCGGCTTTTTCATAAATAGTATGTCAAAATGTCGCTTGACAATGTAAATATAGGTAAGAAAATACACCAGTTATACCAAAAAAGAGAATGTAGAAAACAAGTTACAAACTTATTTGTAGGTTTAGCTAAATTAGTGCACTTTTTATGTGTAGATCTAGTCGAAACAAAACCAATGAAATTCCTAAAGATATTGGTTTTTATGCAATATTTCGTAGTCCAAATAATACAAAGTTATTATTTTCTGAAAATATTTGAAATCAAGTTTTTTGTAAAATATGCGCCCGTTTATTTCGGGACATTTTTTGTAAGTCTATTTCAAATTCTCAATTGTGTAAACAGAATTACTAAATTTCAGATGTTATTCATTATAATCGTTTCATTCTCCGTAAAAAGTGTCAACGACTACGCCAATGCCCTGTTCACCAAGTGGCAACTTGAAAATAACACTCAAACATACGATAAAAAAATAATTAAAAAAATTAAAATTACATCAATTGTAGTTTCGACACTGATTTTAACAAATCTCGCTTCAGCTTTAGTGTCTGGTTATTTCCATATGTTACCCGATGATGATGATAAGGAAATATTCTTCATCTTTGCTTTTGTTGAAGAACATTTTCCGAATTGGCATTTGGAAATTTCGTGGACATTGCGTTCTACTTACATTTTTGCTGCCTACTTTATGATTTATCCCCTCAATACTTTATCTTACTTTATTTGGAAATTGCAATTTCACATGTTCTTGTATTTGGAAAATATCAGGAAAATTAATGAGGGGCGACTGAAAAACGAAAATATAATGTGTTCTCGATTTCAGAAACAAGTGAGAATGAAATTGGTACAATGCATTAAGCGTCACACTGAAATTAATAAGTAATCTGATATCTTTGGTAATTTAATTTGGACTCAACTAAAATATATTTCAGACTTTATGCATTAGCGAATGCTACTTTGGGCAAAATGATTTTAGTGTTTTCCGTTCTTGGGGGACTTTTAATAATCAGTACAGCGTTTTTCGTCCTTGCTGTTAGTATAAATCGATGTAATTTTTTTTTTAATTTTTATTGTACCAGTTTGAGGGTTCATTTTTCGCAAAAATTTGGCGAGTCGGTACTTTGATTCTGTGTGCTGCGATTACTTCTGGTGGAGCTGCATATTCAGGAGAGAGTCTAGAAACAAGTGTAAGTTAGAAAAGAGTAAAAAATTATTTTATATTTTGATACAGGTCAACAACATTTTTCTTTATCTAAAACAACAAGATTGGTATGTTTGGAATACAGAAAACAAGAAAATATACTTGACTTTTTTAACAAATGTTAAACCTTTGAGGCTACAGTTCTCTTCAGGTGTTGGCCTCAATTACAAATTAGTGATTTCGGTGATACTTCTAATTTTTTTTTTAATTTTTTTACATGTTTTATGTTTTAGATTCTCAAAACGGTCTACTCCATAGTTTCAGTGTTATCGCAATTAATTAAATAATTTATGAAACACTGTTTTGCACAATAATTGCACGTCTTAAATATTGCAATCACATAAAAAATAAAAAATTAAAATCCATTAGTTCCTTCAAAATCATTTGAGCTATTCTCATAAAATTTTACAGGCTTTTAGCCTTATTTTCCAATTACTTTATTTTAATTCTTTACAATTGCGGACACGGAATTTTGGAAATCAAATTTATGCCAATTTAAGAAATGTCAATGTAAACCACGCTTTATTGTCATTATCACTGACTTTTGAAACTAAAATTTGAAAGTTTTACTTGAATTTTATTTTTGGCGTCGATTTTTTTAAACAATAATACCAGCAATACGTGTTTTATACAAGTTCAAAAAAATTATTTTGATTTGTTGTCATTTTTTCTCTAGTTGTCAGGATCAAAATTACAAAAACTGAAAGTGACGTTAGTTGCCTAAGGCCCGTTTTACATTTTTATGTCAGTCGAATGACGAATTGTCCAAAATTCCGTGTCCGCAATTGTATTTTTGTTTTTTTTTATTAGTGTTATTTTTCACTATAGAATATGTGGTTACAATTTTGTAAAACTAAAATACAGCCTGTATTAAAAAAATCATCAAAATGCAGCAATATTTTTGTCTTTTATAAATTAATAACACAAAATCACAATAAAAATAAAAAATCATGAGCAATATTCTTGTTTTTCTAAATACTACGAGCATATACAATATTTTATAAAAGTTCATAGTTGAATTAAAAAAAAACTAGAATTTTAAGTGGGTATACAGGGTGTCTCCTGAAAGACTTTCAGGGCTAATATGTCTGTTATATGACAACAAATTTTTATAAAATTTAAAATGTAGACAACTTAGAAGGTGGAAAATTAATTTATTTTGTAGGTACTCAATAATAATAATTAAAAATCAAAAAATTATAAAATTCGGTAATATCGCTCCTTTTTTTATAACCGCCCATGTTTTTGTATCTTCAGCCACTTTTAACACAATTTTCTCCTTTTTTTTTGTAAGCGGGACCTCTTTCAAGGACAGATTTATTAGCTTATAGCACTTTTTATTGGCGATTAATAATTTTCTATAAATTTTAAATGTTAAGATAATAATCTCAGTCTACTATACAATTTACGTTATAAATTTCGTTAGCAAATAACAAGAGATATTAGATCCGAAATAAGTCTTAGGTGAGACACTCTGTAAATATTGCGTTTTATTTATTTATTATTGTTACATAGGAATTATAAGTAGGTGTACAATTAAAACATCTTCAATTTAAACTTCTTTTATTTGTCCTAAATATCGTCCCGACTTCTCAAATGGTACACGTGTCCTTTATCCTATTTTCCAATTTTAAGAAATAAAATTTTAGAACAATTAATAAAACAATGTTCGTATAAAATTCAATACCTATTATTATTATAGCGATAAAAAACATTGACGTACTTTTGTCCATTAAGATTGAGGATCTGCATCCAACTCTGGCTCCTCACATTCTAATTCTGCTTCATTTTTACACACTAACCCTTGAGGACAGTTCTGCAATTGTCCCAAAACAACTCTTCTATTTTTTCCTACATGGACACACTGATAAAATCGATTTTCATCATAACAAATAAATTCTTTGTCCCCACAATCTATTTCCACAGTGTAAACAAACTCAACCTGGAATAAACTGTTCAAAAATTGAAATAAAACTTGACACACTTACGAAAATAACAACAAGTATTAACGCAGAAAATTTCATTTTGCGTTTGTTTACAGCGATGACTAGTTTGAACTGATAAGTGTAACCAAAGTTTCTTGTTTTATATTCAGAAATATGAACCATCTGATAAAAATTGTCTAAAGATGAACGAAATTCAAACAAAATGATTCAGGATGACAAGGCTATAAAAATTTTTCAAAGAGGACAGTTTTTTAATGCTTATTTTATTACTAATTAGCCTAAAGTAAATTAATATCTCTTCATATCCAGAGGTTATTTCCCTATAATTGTTTATAGATTTCTAAAGTGGCAACAGTGCATAAATAAAGTAATAAATTAACAAAGTAGAAAATAATTCCACTATTATAAAATAAAGTTATCAACAATTAATCAAATTGTTTGAAAGCAATACTTGCGCCTATTAAGACCCAATTAAATACGCCATTGATCAATCAGAAAATGACAAATACAGGGTGCGCCAGAACTCGTGCCCTGGAGAAAAATTTCAAGTAAGATAGGATACCAGGAGTGTTGCAAAATTCGCCAAATTTTCACCAGATTACGATTTGTATGGCTATATCTCGCGAAAAAACGCTAAAATCCGTTTAAACTGTTGAAAAAAGCAAAATCGAAATGTACCTATTTCGGCTTAATTTTGTGATTTTTCAACAAAATTTTGCGAAATAATTGCGTTTCTAGCTGAAAAACGTGTTGAAATGCTCGAGAAAAGTAATTCTAGACTTAATTTCTTGATTTTTTAGTTTGTTTTAGTGAAATTTAGTAGAAAACATGAGATTTTGGTACACAAATGTGCTTAAAAGCATTTTCGGCCAAATTTTGAAGTTTCTCAGCTTATTTTTGTATTAATTTTGCTCAAAACCCAGTTAAATCGAGCAAAACAAACAAAAAACATCAATATCAATCCTTTTTGTGATTTTAGGCATGTTTGGAGAAGATTTTGCAAGTGTTTGGAGAAGATATCAATTTCATTTAATTTTGTAATTTTTTAGCCTGTTTCAACGCAATATTCGGAGCGTTTTGTGTTTTTATCTCTCAAAAACCCCGTTTTATATTGTATTGAATTTGTGGCTTCTTTTTAACAAAATTTTGTAAAAAAAAAGGTGATTCTAGCGGAAAAATTATAGTAAAAAGATTTAAATAAGTTTCATTTTCGACTTTTTTAGTAACATCTCGTAAAAACAAATAGAACTTTTTTTACCAATTTGGTGTTTTCCGATTATTTTGTCTTCGAGAAAATTTGACGAAATGATCAAGTTAAAGCCTAAGAGTTGGGTAAAAGTATCATAATTTAATCTTTTTTTTATAACAATTTAGTGATTTTTGACATGCTCTATGGCAAACTCTGGCGAAAAAAACAGAGTTTTCAGCTTAAAAATCTGCTTGAACTTCCGAAAAAGGAAAAAATGATATCATTTTCGGCCTAATTCAGTGTTTTTTTTGGCTTGTTTCAATTCTGCAAAATAATTGCTTTTCTAGCTGAAAAACGTGCTAAAACTCTCAAGAACTGCAAAATTAATGTTCGTCTTAGCGAAATTTTGCAAAAAACCTGAGATTGTAGTACAAAAACATGCCTACAAACATTTTCGGGTTATTTTGTCTTATTTTTAAAAAGTTAAATCCAGTGAAACAAACAAAAAAGTAACATCAATATCAAATGTTTTTGTAATTTTTAAGCGTGTTTGGACAAAATGTTTCAAAATAAATGAAAAATGATATCAATTTCGATTTAATTTTGTAGCCTGCAACAACAAAATTTTTACAGTTTTTACAACTTTCTTTTATCTCAAAAAAGAGCTTAAACACTTAAAAAGGGCAAAATAACGCCGTTTTTGGTCGAATTTGTTGAATTTTTTATTGTTTTTAGCGAAATTCGGCAAAATAATTGCTTTTCTAGCTGAAAAACCGTGCTAAAACTCTCAAGAAATGCAAAATTAATAATGTTCGTTTTAGCGAAATTTTGCAAAAAAGAGATTTTAGTACAAAAACGTGCCTTAAAACATTCTCGGCTTATTTTGTCTTATTTTGCTCAAAAACTAGTTAAATCGAGTAAAACAAACAAAAAAATAACATAAATATAAATTGTTTTTGTGATTTTTAAGAGTGTTTGGACAAAATTTCTCAAAATAAATGAAAAATGATATCAATTTCGATTTAATTTTGTAATTTTGTTGCCTGCTTTAACAAAATTTTTAAAAATTCCTTTGTTTTTATCTCAAAAACGTGCTTAAACACTTGAAAAGGGCACAAATAACGCCGTTTTTGATGGAATTTGTTGAATTTTTGGATTGTTTTAGCTACATTTTGCGAAATAATTGTGTTTATAGCTGAAAAAGTATTCGAAAACGACAAAAATAAATTCTCATTTTCGATCCTGTTTGTAAAATCTTGTAAAAAACAAACAGAACTATTTTTAACCAATTTGGGTTTTTCGACTTTTTTGATAAAATTTGACGAAATAATCAAATTAACAGTTTTTTTTTTCATTTCCAAAAAATCTGCAGATATGTATTAGAATTTTCACAAAAGTTTTCAACAAATCACCAACAATTTCACCACACCTAGCAACACTGGATACCAGGAACATTTAAAAAATTATATCTGTCAAAAAAATTTTACATTTATTTTTTGACATTTGACATTTTTTGTGTCTATTTAATGATACTGATGATCTTGTATATGTTTTTTTTATAATTACTTAGTAAAGGTACAAAAATTTTGTCAATAAAAGCCATAAATAACATTAAGCATAGAGTCAAAGTGCAAAAACTCATAACTTCGAAATTTTTATGTATAAAAAAAAAACTTTATATGTGGCATTTTTCTCTGGGGTGCGAGTTCTGGCGCAGCCTGTATATCAAAAATTAAAACATTATTTCGTTTGCTTAATTTATCATAAATCACGATAACATTTTTTTTATTTTTTCAAAACTTGTTTTGCTTGCATGTCTATTTGAGCAATTTACAAAAGTAGGCTATAAGTGCACAGTTCAGTCTGCAGCTAGCAATTGAACCTCCTGACAGTCTAATTTTATAAGAAAGTCGTTTGAGACAACCTCCCATACCTTCAAATCGTGAAATGTGAAAGAGTGGGTGAATAAACAGCATGCTCATTGGTATCATTCATTCCTGTTAAAATCGTAGTGCCGGTTAGAGAACTTTTCACTTTTCCGTTTAATAATATCCCACGTGTTTTTGAAAAAATTCTGTGTTGTGTGAGCCGCGCTTCTGTGCGAGGAACGTTATTTGACACACTTTAAAGTAAAAAATTCGCAGTGATGTTGAATTTCAGTTTTACGAAATTAATAATTAATTGTTACAAGTTTTTTACACCGGTATTAAATCACAATCGAATTCGAAGTGGTTTCGTGGTTTAGTTTTACTATTGTGTTGCATAACAACTTTTACACTTTGTGTATGATATACTTTCCCGTGAATAACGAAGAATGATATTTTTCTACGCTTCCTCATAAACTGCTATGAAGGGAAAAGGTAACGCTTCCTAATTCTATTGTATAACACAACCACATATTATTTATGCATTTTCCAATATAATTTTCATGTTTCGTAATTCCAAGCATTTGTAAGCGATTTATGATACTGTTGATGTTATTAAATGAAAGGGATATCGTCTTCATTTACAACGTACATTTAATTAAAATATGTAACTTAATAACAATAATTAAACTAGCCAATAGTGTGTAGAATTTTACTTTGTCGACTTCTCAGGTAATCAAACAATGCGACCTATTTCAAATTTTATATAAAGTGTAATATTTTTTGTATTTGTTTTGAAATAGGTAGTGAGGTCAGAGAAAGAGTGGATGTGCACGAATCTGTTTTATTGCAAAGCTCGTTAAATGAAAGTAGAAAAGTATTTTGTAACATTTGTCAAATATCGCAATTATGGTTGAATAAATACTACTAATCTATATTCATAAATAAAAACATTTCATAATTTTCTGTGTAATATATGCAGGAAATCTAGATTATTTATAAAAAGAAAACTCACTACCTATTTATGCTGTAAGTTTAATAAAAAAATGGTTGCCGGCGGCTTTGTTTACAGAATCTGATTAATTGTTACTAGATATAAATGCCAAGACAACTTTATATTTACCATAATCAATTATAATCAAATAAATAGAAAAAAGATAACAGCAATATTAAGTGTAGTTATGTTTTAAAGTTAACTTCGCACTATAAGACAACGTTTTTGAGCAAAGCGCTAATTTGACATAATTCATAAGTAAATAAAAATACTATAAAAGTTTATAAACATAAATAAAGAATCGATTATTGTAAATTTAAGTTTACTACTAGGAGTTATTGTACAAATAGTAGAGGCTTTGAATATGGAATATTCTTCACAAATGTCATTCTAAACGAGTTTCAAACTACTACTATTTTTGCTACACAAAGAATCGATTTGAACAAAATCAAAAAAAATTATTATTGTTAAAATAGTACCATCTGTGACCATTTTAACACTAGTGTGAAAATATGCTCAATTCAAAATCAACCAAGAGTATTGTTATTTTAGTATACCAGGTGAATAAAAAGTATGGAACCAAACGGTTTTTGCTTAAACTATTGATTTTTTAGAAAAACTAATTCATGAATGATAAAGTACTATAAAAATGTGATGTGAAGAATAATTTATTCGATTTTTTTTGTTTGTTATAAAACTATAAAACCATTTTTCCCATAAGGGATTACAACTATCTATTTTTTTTTCAAATTTTTACATAAATTGACAAAAAATTGCATAACTCAAAAACAAAACAAAAATTCGTTCTCAAAATACAACATTTTTTATATTACTTTAATTTATACATATTAATTATTATTTTCTGGAGACAAATGATTAGAAAATTTCCTTATTGCACAAATTTAATGTTTCATTTATATTTACATATTATTCAAAATTATATTTTTTACCAAAGCAAGCACTGAGAATAACTTACTGTTTCATGAATATACAATATTCCACTTTCATATAAATAAGTATCTCGTAGAAATTCTTTAATTGTTAATCTGCAAAAAATTTTATTGAGGCCAAGGCACAAAATATAAAACATTCGATGCAACTCTTTACTTAACCATTTATAAAAACAAAACTATTAAAATAGTTATCTACGTATCAAGGGAATAAACAAGCATTTTCATTTGAGGACGAAGTTTATTCCAAAGGTTTGCACACAAAACTTTCCTCCCAAGAGACCAAATTAATAATAATATAAAAAATGATAAATTTGTCAAAATATTGAGTTCATTAAATTGCAATTTTAAGCGTAAAAATCGGGATCAAGGAGTTTATGTTAAAAAGCAGATTATATTCCAGTTTATTTTAAGAGAAAAATTGGTACGTCATTCATTTTATCCCCGAGGGAATAAAGTACTAGATTGTAAGTCAAAAACAAACAAATAAAATTACGTTTGTTAAATTAAAATATAAAAATAAGTAATTCAATTTTTTTAATTAAGTATTAGGTATCACAAATAAATAATAGTTGATTTTTATGAAGTTTAGCTATATACTTCGCCTTGTAGTAAGTTATTTATATCTAAATAAGATTTATTGACAAATACAAAGCTTAGTAAATCCAAGATTTAAGACCGCAAAAGTCTTACCAACAAACAAATTTATTACAGTATTTGTCAAACCAGCGACCAAACAAAGAGGGCATGAATCACTTATTAATGAACAAAGACTTTTCTTAATTAACCAAAACAATACTTTGCACAAACTAAATATTATTTCATTATAAACTGCAATAAGCAATGTTTTTTTTTTCTAGACATTCTTTTAAATTTACTCATTCTATATCAATCTGTACAGTTTCTGCTGTTTACCTTATTTGATTTTCTTATCGTTTAAAGCGACAGTTATCATTCATTACTGTTCAATCAAACGCACTTGAAACCTAGAAGCCAACTAGTTACTAGTAGAATCGCTTTTCCATTTTTGGGGTAACTTGAGGTGAGTTCACTTGGATTATTTATAAAACATGAAAGACCATCATTCTAAATTAAATATTTAATGAGATGATTTTAAAGATTGTTCCACAAACTTAATACCTATGACGAAATAATCAGAGCAGTAGCTGATTAGAAACTTCACCTGTTTTCATCGTGATTATTATTATTTACTCTTAAATAATATACGAACTCGTTTACAAAAAAACTTTTTTAACAGAAAAACTTCCAACTGCTTTATTTTATTGTTTAAATAAAGAGATACATATACGGTAATTATCAGGTAACTTTCTCTTCTTTGTTTTAAAGTCTTATACTCTCATGTAAGTACTTCTACGGTGTCCCAGCTAAGACTTTTTTCCGGTTAATGCTTTTGTAAGATAATTTTAGCTAAGACAGAACACTATATAGAACAGGTAAAGACTTTGGTTGTATAAAATTATTAGATAATATTAAAAATTAGCTTATTTAGACATACAGGGTGTCCCAGCGAGTTGAAATAGCCCATTAGTAAATGGTAAAATGAAAAAAAATATATATAGGACATTGATAGATACCAATCTAGTCCATCGCCTAAAATTATTTTCAACTATACAGCGTGTCTCAAAAATAAGTTACAATACAAACACTATATGTTTCTTAGCGTTTTTGGATGTAAACTTTTATGACAATGTTTTTAAGCTAAACATTTATCGGTCGATTTCGCTGAGTTTAAGAAATAAGACGTTTTTTTCGACGACAACATGCACTTTTTAAAAATTTATTACACAAAAACTATGACATCTAGAAATATTTTTTTTACTACCGCAAAGAAGATATAAGGTTGTAACATTTTTTTAGTGTGTTGCATTTGCAAAGGTAAAAAAATGAAGACGTTTGTTAAAAGTTCAATAACTTAAAAAATTTAAATGGAACACCCTATTTATTGTTTTTGCATTTAAAAGATTATTAAATTGTCTTTCTAAAATTATTTACTTTTAGGTGTTTATAATCAATAACTAAAAAGATATTTAACGTTAAACATTAAAAAAAAAATTACTCTTGTATCAGTATATTAAATGTTAAATATCTTTTCATTTATCAATTCT